GGTCTCACTCTTACTTAGGCTGGTCTTGAATTCCTGAGCTCAAGTAATCCACCCACCTTGGCCTCTCAGAGGGTTAGGATTACAGTTATGAGCCACCATACCCAGACTATCTTTGTTTAATAGAATCTTTCTTTTTAATCTACTTCACAGTATGTCCTCATATCGTATGCTACTTGTCCTAACTCCTAATGTTGGAATAGGTGCGCATCATGACCCACTAGAACAAAGGAAAACACACGGCCAGGTGGACTGGGTGATTTCCCAAGAGACAGTGCTGGGAAGTGAAAAGCAGGTAGATTTCTCTGCTTTCACGATTCTGTGCTCTGTCTCCACCCCAGACTGATTCTAGCCCCATCCTCATGGCCACATCCATTCCTAACCCCAAAACTTCCATTGTCTCAAGTTGATAAAATTCATTCAAACAACTAGAGAGCAGTTTCTAGTAAATTAGGGGACCACAGGCTAGATCCAGAGGAAGGGATTGTTCTTCTGTCTCTTCTGGTCCTATGTGATTTATTAAACATTTCTTTCTTTCTTTTTTTTGAGACAGAGTTTTCACTTTGTCACCCCCAGTAGAGTGCCATGGCGTCATAGCTCACAGCAACCTCAGAATCCTGGGTTCAAACAATTCTCTTGCCTCAGCCTCCCAAGTAGCTGGGACTATGGGCACCAACTACAACAGCTGGTTATTTTTAGAGACAAGATCATGCTCTTACTCAGGCTGGTCCCAAACTTGTAAGCCCAGGCAATCTGCCCACCTCGGCCTCCTAGAGTGGTGGGATTACAGGCATAAGCTGCCATGCCCAGCCTCAAAGATTTCTTCTTGATGGGTAAAATTAAGTAAAGGTCATACCATGCCTCTGATTCAGGGGCTTTCTTAAAGTACTTCTTGATAACGAGGACACATCCTCATGAGGGGACAGAGCAGTGGCTCCAAGTTCAGGTCTGAGTCTGTGTGAGTCAACAAAGGGGAGGAGGGGCTGGGGTGGGATTCTGTGTGGCTTGTCAGTCACCCATGCTTGAGAGCATCACCAGCCCAGAAGGTCTGAGCTGGGGTTGAGTCCAGGCATCTGAAGTTGTTGACATCGCCAAGCCATTGCCTGGAGCGGCACTGCCGTACCTCACCAGCATTCCACCTGTGGCTAGGGGAGGTCCCTCCACAAGCACTGAGTAATAGCAATCCCTCCTCAATGCACAGAAAATAAAATCAACTACTAAACAGAATTTTCTCAAATTTTCTTTCCTTCCTTGGACATCTTAAAAAATCTTTGGCATCTGCTACTACTTGGTAGGCTCAAGCATGCTCATGGACTCCCCAAACAGATGCATACATAACAAATATTAACAGAAAATACAGAACCAAGCACTGCCCAACCTGATGGCAGGTTGTAGACACACAGGTTTAGGTTGATGTTTTTCTACCATGACCCTGTAATGGAGACTTAAAGGCATCCAAAATGCGTACAATGAATTCAATGCCCTAGCATTTTAAGGTGGGCTGTGCCACAAAGGGGCAGAGTAACCCAATTGTGTGCTCATGCATCAGCAATGCCTACTGAGAATCCACGGCTTATCAAGCCCTGAGAAATCTACCACCCATATAAGTGAGGACATTCAAGGGTGCCAAACCCAGGGCTTCACCTAAGCTACACCACAGAACTGGTCTTCTGGGAGTGTTCTAGTCAACCGGTGTCCTGCACACTGAGGCCACCTGCAGGTGCATGGCCATTCCCTGGACACAGGGGATGGAGCTGGGAAAATGTTACCAGAATTAGCAATTCCAGTTTGCTCCCTTCTGGAAAGGCCAACATGCTTAGTGCAGGGATGCTCCACTCGGGGGGTGGATGTCTGCTGAGAACCCAACATGTCCCTGCTGCATGGAAGCTGCCTGGGAGAAGCTCAGGCTTCCAGGTCCTATTCCAAAGGCCACACACCACCGGGCAGCTCAGAAAACGCAAGTAGATGCCTTCCCTCCACGGACACCAACAGCCCGTTCTTAATAAGCTCTCAGCCAGAATGATAAAACACTGGCTTAAAGAAACAGTTGTTTGTCAGAGGCTGGGGAAAGAGGCCTGGCTTTGTGTCCAGAGGCTGGGGAATGTCAGCATCCCTGCTCCACAGCCCGCCTCGCTTCCTTCTGAAAACAGACTTTAAACCCCCCACACAGCCTTTCTCTGTAGAAACATCTCTCTCCTCACAGAGCAGAACCAGCTGGAAATGGGGAAAGGTAGCACGAGAAGGAGGGAAGGGGAGCTCTCTTTCAGTCTGGTTTCCCATATCCTAAGCCAAATGGCTTCCTGCCTGAGGATATGTGAATTAGAGCCCCCTCCCCGCCTTTGCCCTCTAGCCAACAAAAGGACTCTGCCCTCCTTCCCTCCACCCAGGATGGGGGCTCTGGGGCTCTACCCTCCTTCCCTCTGCTGGAGAAGGGGACTTCTAGGCCCTGTCTCCCTCTGGCCCCATCTCCTCAATTGGCCAATGACTGCCCCTGTCTCTAGTCCCTGCTCTGGCCTGGGCTGAGGACCTGTCTGGTCTCAGAGCTGTTTTCCCTGAGTGTAAGGCCAGACTGAAATTCCAGAAGAGATTTGGGGGGTGGAAAAGCAGACAGAAACGCAAGTGGCTGAAATGAGCAAGGAGAGGCTCCCCCTGGCCACAGCAGACTTTGGGAGAAATCTGCTGTCTGTGTAGGCGACTCATTGATCCACTTTTCTGATAATTATTCCTCACTCATCACAAACCAAATGACACTGGCCCCTGTCCAGCCAAGCAGGTGGGAAGGCAGCCCTGTGTATGGAGAGTAGAAAATGAACCTTCCTGGGTTCATTCTAGGAGAGAACGGAGTGAATGGTGTGGTGTGTACTATCCCTGCGCGCTGAGCAGGGGCTGCTTTAATATTCTGCTGAATGTGGTGTTTCTTTTAACCCTTGCTGGAGAGAGTGTGAGCCCCAGAGTTAGGCTCCTTCCTGTCAGGCCACTGGCAAAGTTTCCCTAGCTGGACCAAAAGGAACCCCAGGTCCTGGGTGGGTGGCTCTGGAAAAGCTGGGTGCAGGGCCCTGGGTATCAAGCTGGGTGCCAGCACAATCGCGGTGGTGCCGGCCAAGCAGACGAGGATCTCTGAATAGTCACCAAGAGGGGTCTAGGGAGGAAGCTGAACACGTCCTGATGCCTGGTGTTTTCCTACACATTTGATCTCCAAACTATCAGCTGGCCTGCATGGAGATGCAAGGACCACTGATGAGAACTCAGTGCCAGACCAGCCTTCCTCTCTGTGAGCCCCCAGCCACTGACTCTCTGGAGACGCAAAGAGCAGCGAGTGGACCCAGCCTCAGACCAGCACGACCTCTCCGGCGCTCCCTCCAGTCTCCAACTGTCCTTTGCAAAGGCTCTCACCTGGGCTTTCTTGCAAGGTTTGGGGGTGTATATCCCCTTGAGTTTCCTATTACAACTGCTCCCGCACGTGTCTCTAATAAGTCAAACACAAGCATCCCCATGCCGCGTTCCACTCGGCTCCTGTCCCCTGCCCGTTCCAAAAAAAATCCCTTCCCCATAAAGATCAGCACCAAATGGGCAGCGGGAGGCCAAGGACAGACAAAACGCCACCTCTGGGAAAGCAAGCGAGAGCTTCCTAGGCGTCAATCGCCGCACCCCCGCGCCGCCACCAGAACAAACACGGGATGTGGTGGTCTTCAAGACAAGGCAAGAGAATCAGCCTGATGGCCTGGAATGCCCCCTGCTTCGCTTAGAAAGGGCCGTGCTTTCCGCAGTGGTGGGGGGCTCCACACCACGGTGTTCGGGGGGAGTTTCCACTAGGCAACCAGTCAGTTCCTAGAGGAACCGGCAGCACAATGGACCGAGCTGGCAGATGGGAACGCGGGGCAGGCGCCAGAGCTGCGTCCTTT